CAAAAATAGCATCTCTGATAAGTCTTGAGAATTTAAATTAAAAAGATGAGAAACAAGCAATCTCTTAGCCACAAAATGTGTGCTTTCTCAATTCTCTCACTGATTCAATCAGTACCTGAAACCAATCAATCAATGTTTTATTTCAGGATCAAATACTGGCCAACAGTCTGATTCATTGAGTTAAATCACTGTGGAGTACTATTTAGATGACAGGACCTTAATTTGGTAGCTGCTTCGTTTGAGTGGAAGCTCAGCCACCTAAATGCAATACAATTGGCAGTCAGAGCAATAAATGCATGAATGAGATGTTAAGTCAAATCATGAATTTAAAATGTGGCTACCTGTCTTGTGGATTGGGAGAGCATGCCATCAACCCATCTTATTGTCTGTTTAAAGGCAGAGTTTGCCTTTCCATGGTCACATTGCTAAACAAATCAAGATTAGTATTCTGTAATGATCTCACTAGTATAAGGTTTAAAGATATTTTAGAAATGCATTTCAGAAATGAAGGTGGTAGCACTAGAGAATTCAGCTGCCATGTTTATTTATAGTACCACAAACAGTACATTGTGTCATTCACACTCAATGCTTTTACACAAATTGCACAGATCCTTGTAGAACTTTGAGACAGCCGAGCTACAGCTTTCATTTGTTACAATTTCAAAATAAAGTTTGGTTCTGAAAAACCACAAGAGACAATGTCGCTTTAAACATGCGGATAATTACTGCACCAGATAACTGAGGTTTTGCTGAGACAAACTATATTAAAGCTATACTGAATGACCCATCATGGTTTATGTTGGGATAGCATACAACATAATTAAAGATTGAATAGAGATAATGATTTAATTAGCATGGGTCTTCTATTCCAGTATGAAAACTGCTGGACTATTCATGATAGCTAGTAATACATTATTTAGAAGGTACCAGTTTTACATTGTTATCAGATATGTTTCTACTTGATTTCCTGTTGTCAGAAAGAAGTTTATTTTTAAAATGTTACTTATTGGTTCCATTTGTAAAAATAAGGATTATCGTTAGACTTTAGACTTGCACCATCCTCAATTGATTTGGAATTGATTCTTCGATCAAATGATTGCATCCGAAGATAATTATTGCTGGGAGTCACGTTCAAAGAAAGCACCATGTGTTAATTTTAGAATAGTTTACAATAAAATTTAACATTTGCTCAAGAAGATTCATCTGTGCAAACTTTAGATTATTAAATGAATCTCCTCTTAACAAAACACATTAAAAAAGGAAAGGCAGTACATTACAGCCATCAAAACTAAACGTGCATACAATAGTATACAGAGAAGTGGCTTTATTGAATTAAGGTTTTGAAGGTTCATTGTGAAGTAGTGCATCAACATGAAACATGAAATACAGACATGAAACTGATCAAAAGCAGTATATATTGAGGGTGTCTCTATCTGAATAAAGGGCAATTTTTAAAAAATCATTAACAACCAAGAGTATTTATTTATATTGATAAATATACAGCCCAATTCTTTATTTCAGTGTGCTTTTCTCTTTACATAAATGGAATAGAAGAAATTGATCATTTACAATCAACAGGTAACCAATCTATTTTGTAAGATCCTCTAAACTGGTAACTATGAGTTTGTTCCAGCAGTGGAGCTTTTTCTTCAGTCTCATCCAACTACAGCAGGTAGTGTAGTTTCAGGGAATAATCTGCAAGGTTTGAAACAAGGTTTTTCTCTCTAGTTACATTATTTTTCAGCTTAAAGTTACAAAATGTGCAAAAGCTTTAAATTCTTCAGGTTAATTGATGCACCCAATTATGGTAAGACCAATGGGTCCTGGCCCCTTCAAGTTCCCAGATTTTGACACAGTGGAATATTTGGAGTACTTTCATTAGGGCTTTTAAAAAAGTAGAGGCAGATGATTTCACTTCCTGTAAAAATATATAGGATCTAGAAGACTCCCACCCCACCCCAAATGCTCAACAAAAAGAATCATTTAAGATCATATGAAGGGACAATGGCATATTGGTCATTCCATAGAAAGTCTAGATTATGATTAATATTATAAATTCAAACCACTTTTCAAATCTTCAGAAATTCATGAAAAGGTACATTTGTGAGCTTCTTAAATAAAGTACACAAACATTAAGTATGTACTTTTGCTTTGGAGATTTCAGCTTTATCAATTTTATGTGCATTGACTGAAGAGAAATGAAACAATAGCAATTGACAAAAAAATAAAAAAAATGCTGGAAATACTGAGCAAGTCAGGAAGCATCTGTGGAGAAACAGAAAGTTAATATTTCAGGTCAATGGCTATATGTTTGAACAGGAAATGTGATCTGACTAAAGATTATCATTTCTATTTTCTTCTTTGCAGATGCTTCTTGACCTGTTGCGTTTCTCCAACATTTTCCCCTTTTATTTCAGATTTCCAGCATCTGTAGTATTTTAGTTTGTATCAGTGGTTGACAAAATTCGGTACTCCATGGGAGCTTAAATTCAAGTCCTGTGATACCCAAGTACTGTAAGTTTAACTCCTGAGAATGCTAACATCATGGACCAAGAGTTAATAAATTTTCTGCAAATAGCTGGTCAAATTGAATTGAAAGCTTCACTGATGGGTCAATTTGTTTACTCCATACCCATTACTCCCCAAACTGTTCTACCAGTCACAATCCTGGAATTCACATTGATAAGTACACATTGTGCAGTAATGCATAACTGAATGGTAATTATAAGACAAAGATGCATGTTCTTTAAAAAATAATAATTAATTATTTTAACAATCGGTCATTGTCCTGACATATTAAAGCTGCTTATTTCCACACAAATATTTTCTCAACCTGCTCAGAAATTTTAACATTTTCTGTTTTCATTTCAGGTTTCTAGTATTTGTAAGTATGTAAGTGAGTTCTTTTTTAGATAAATGCTCTGTTTATTTAGGCAGGAAAGAAACAAAGTAAGACAGTATAAAACAAAGAATGCAATTCTAAAAGGGGTGCAAGAACAAATGGACCTGAGATTTTGTGTTCATAAATCATTGAAGTTGGTAGGGAGGTAGAGAAATTAGTTAACAAGACATATGGGCAAGAATGTCATGGTAAGCCTTTATAAAACACTGCTTTGACCTCAGTTGGAATATTATGTCCAATTCTCATCATCACATTTTAGGAAGGATATGAATGCATTGGAAATATTTATAAGAATTGTTCCAAGCATAACGTTTTCAATTATGAGGACAGATTGAACATGCTGGAGCTGTTCTCCTGATAGGAGGGAAGGCTGAGAGGAAACTTGATAGAGGTGTTCAAATCAACAGTGATCTGGACAGTATAGATAGGGTGAAACTGTTTCCATTTACAGAAGAGTTGTAAACTACAGTACAATGATTTAAGGAGAATGGCAAAGGTGAAATAAAGAAAATTTTTTTTCCCCAGTAAATGGCTAGGATCTGAATGCACTGCCTGAGAGTGTAGTAGGTGCAGATTCAATCATGGCTTTTGAAAGGGTATTAGATAATTATGTGAAAACAATTGCAGGGATTTTGGGAAAAGGTAGGGGAGTGGAATGATTTCTGTGGCTCCTACAGAGAGCTGACACAGGCATAATGGGCTGATTTGCTTCCTTCAGTGCTGTAACAATTCTATGATTCTATCTATTCAGAGCTTAAAATGGCTTGCTTACATCTCTTATAATGGGTATGGAGTGTTTCAAATTCTGTAAAATAGACTAAAATTGAGCTTAACTGTGATCAAACCAGCACAGGATAAGCATAATCTTACAGTGCACCTTAAATACAGCAGTTTGTACAGTACAACTCACTCAATAACACAGAAGATAAAATTCCAGCCAACCAAAAAGAAATGAAAAGCAAAAAAGATAAATTTCAAAGGATTGCAATAGTAGCTTTAGATTAGAAACAGCCACACAGAACTAAATAATAAATTGGATCAAACAAAAAGAATAAAACATTTCTATGGCCAGGTAGGAAATCACAATGACATTTTTGATTGTACTTAGCCACAGTTATTAATCTTCAAACTGTAATGCAGAGCACACAAATTAACATTGACTAATTAGATAGAGGTTAAAATTTCAAGCTGCATGCTTCTTTCATAAAGGAAGAAAAGTAAGTCAATTTTCACAAGCAACAGCTGGAGATGGCAGTGAATTTACTGTTATTCACAAATCAATTGATAATCGATTCATTTAGATTCTAATCACAGAAAACCAGCCACAAATTGCCCTGCTCCCTAAATTTCTTTAAAATAATACTTCCAGTCAATACTGGAACTGTCATGGAACATGACTAATAGACCTCACAATTTACAGCAATATATTTCCTTTACAATAAGTTATTTCAATAACCTCTGAATATAAATATTAAAATGTATACTGAAGATAATTCTGATTTTAACCAGTTGTCAAATTAGACACATTCTAAAATGTGTTAAATGCTTGAAAATGTTTCGTATTTGGATTTTATAGATGTGAGTTCATCTTTAGATAATGTTCAATCACAAAATAAAACTGTTTATAAAATTTATGTGATGAATTCTATCTGCATAGTTATAAAATCTGCAGGATTTTGCTTTCTAGTGAATCATCAATTCACACAATTGGCTGAATGTTGTAATGCTGGGCACTGCCCGATCAGAGAATAAAACTAAGTACAGGCATCCCTGCTTTGTCCACTTGATCATAATAAGGGCTAAAACACCTCCTTCAAGAATTATATTCTATACATATGTGGTTTGGATATACAAATACTGTTGGACCCTCCATGGTGTCCCAGAAGTCTTTTTGTCTTTTTCAAATCTTCTCCTGGTTGTTTTGTCATCCCCTCCCCCAGAATACAGGTCAGTCCTGTGCAGAAACATCCTGCTGAGCTTCTAATTTAAAGTGTATTCATGATTATGTGCAATGGATACAGATGAAAATGTAATTAAAAATAAATTAAATATCACTATCTGAACAGAAATTCTTATCAGTCTCACATCTATGGCTGATTCACAATTTTTCTTTTGAAGGAACCCAAATGTATGGACCAGACTGTTCTTCAATTGCTAGTTTGCATTGGTTGTAAATCGATTCCAAGGTTTCTCCTTGTACTATTGCTGTGGATTTAAATAGAAACAAAAATTACTGATTGTGATTCAAGAGAATTTTCCTTAAATTTAATATTTTTACATCCACCTCAGTCATTAGATTTCCCTCTGTTTACAAAATTGTTTGTCTATTTGTCAACAGCAGAAATGATCTAGGAGCACAGGAGAAGGAGATGCTATTTCACCTGTTGAACCTGTAACATTGCACAGTTAGACCATGGCTGATCTTTATTTCAACTCCAGATGATCTTTTAAGACCATAAAATGTAAGAACAGAAGTGGGCCATTCAGACCGTCAAGTCTGCCCTGCCATCCTTTTGATCCATATTCCTTGATATCCTAGCTAAAAAAAGTCTATCAATTCCAGTCTTGAAAAGTTTAATTGACTCCAATTATACAGCCTTTTAGGTGAATTTCATTATTAAATCCAAACACAACTAAGTTTTAGGTTGCTATCAAACCAAGTCAGATTAAAATTTACTATGACCATTTAATTTCAGTTACCTTAAAGTACACAGACATCAATCGGTTCATTGAAATTTATTATGAACAATTTGTATAACGTATTTCATATCCTCAGGCAATTCCAAAGTGCTCCACAGCTAATGAAATTCTTTGAAGTGTTTATACTGTTACAAGGTTTGAAATGTGACACTAACATATATGCAACAAGGTTCCACAAACAATAATGAGAAACATCGCCAGATAATCTGTTTTCCAGTTGAGGAATGAATCATGTCCGAGATACTAGAAGAACTCTTTCAACGTTGTCAAGGTATCATTTATGTCTACCTGAAAGGACAAATAAACCTTCCATCTTAAAAACATCTCTCACAGTGAAACACAACCTTGCAACTTCATTGATGCATTAGTATAGATGATTAATTCTGGGAAAGAAGTTAGTTACAGCAGCTTCAATCTGCATGACTGTTCTTCAATTATCTCAAAGACAATCACTGCACAGGTAGCAATCCACGGCAGTGGCTGTCTGATTAAAATGACGAAGGCTTATATAGCAACAAATGAACCTCTTCCCAGGCTTTTAGATCTACTACCTTTTATTTATTTTTTGTAATTAATTTACTTATTTGTACTGTGTCACTTTGCAGCACATCTGTGTGTATTTACAGCAGGGATTTCTGGGACAAAACAACTGTGCTTCTCTGTTAAAATTCTTTCCAAATTCTTTCAAAAGGATGTGCAAAAGTACAGAGCAACTCACATACTTACATCAGAGATGTTTTAAATGTAAACAAATTTCAAGTCTTAACTATTAAGAACGTTAGATGTTCATACAATTATGTGATGATGAATATAGTTGCAATATAAGATACAGGCAAAACCTGGCACAATTGCTGAGATGTATCAAAAATAGTGCCAGCTGAATTTTCCCAAGAACCTGCTGTTTCAGGGAATTTCATGAAGGGTTTCTTACCGTGAGCTCTAGTAAGCTGTCCCACACAATTTACACTGCTCATCTTATGAGCTATTTGCCACACGATCTCATGCTTAGCAGTAGTGGAAGCGCTCGTTGCTGCCAGGAGTTTCTAGATTTCCCGGTGCTGGCACCATATTTAAAGCCCAGCTGTGGATGAGTTCAAACACTGCAAGTGAGGAATTTCTCCTTACAGTTCCAGTGTGGGAAGAATTACCCTAGAGATGGCTGAGAGAGGCAGATTGGCACTCCGGTTTGCCATCAGAAACTTGGAGATCTTTTTGGATTGAGTGGTGGGCATTCTCTTTCCCCAGGACTGCCAGAGGAGTCAGGTCTGAAGTTGACACTCAGATCAGTTCAGTGTTTGTGGTCCGATGGCATGCCTAGATTAATGACTTTCTATGCTCCATAACAGTAAGTCCACTATTATTTCTCTGCTACTTCACACTCACTTTAACTCTGCTTTGGTCTGATTCGTGCTTTGTTGAACCACTGCTGTCCATGTGCTGTAGGTGGACCCACAATGCCTTTGGGAGGGAATTTCAGGATTTTGACCTATTGAACGACGATATATTTCCCAGTCAGGATGGTGAGTGGCTTGGAGGGGCCATTATTTGCTGTCCTTGTCCTTCTAGATGAAAGTGGTCTTGGCCTTGGAGGTGCTGACTAAGGATATTTGGCAAATTTCCGTGAATCTTATAGATAATACAGACTGCTGCTAATAAGGGTTGGTGGTGGAGGGAGTAGATGTTTGTAGATGTGATACCAATCTAGCTAGTTACTTTATCCTGGATGATGTCAAGCTTCTTGAGTGTTTTTAAAGCTGCATACGTTCAGGAAAACGGGGAGTATTCCATCAAACTCCTGATTTGTGTCTTGTAGATAGTGGACAAGCTTTGAGGAGTTAGGAGGTGAGTTACTTGCCACTGTATTCCTAGCCTTTGATCTGCTCTTGTAGCCACTGTATGGTGAGTCCAGTTGAGTTTCTGGTCAATGGTAATGTCCAGTATTTGATAGTGGGGAATTCAGTGCTGGTAACGCCATTGAATATTAAGGGTGGATGGTTAAATTGTCTCTTATTGAAGATGGTTATTTGTTTATTGCAAATTTTACTTGCTACTTGTCAGCAAGGCCTGTCCAGGTCTTGTTGCATTTGAATATGAACTGCTTTAGTATCTGAGGAGTTGTGAATGATGTTGAATATTGTGCAATCATTGGCCAACATCCCCACTTCTGACCTTATGATGGAGGCAAGGTCATTATTGAAGTAGCTGTGACGTAAGATGGTGAATGTGATGTTCCTTCTCATTAAGGTCGTCATTTTCTACTTGGTACAGTACTGCAGCTTTCAAAGATGTTCGTTATCTATTAATGCCTCATTTGATCCTCCAGGGCAAATCATCCAATGTTTATTTGGTGTCTCTGACTGTACTGCACTGAATGAACCCCCAGACCTGTCATGGAAATCTCATGTGGAGGAGACATCGTATGGCCCTTGTTGTCCGCAGTGGGAGAAGGTGTTGCATTATATGTATCATCATTAAACCATAAGACATAGGAACAAACATAGGCCATTTAGTCCATCGAGTCTGCTTCATCATTCAATAAGGTTATGGCTCATCTAATAACCCAGGACTCCAACCTTCTGCCTTTTCTTCATTCTTGAAAACTTGGCAGATGGAATATAATTGTGGGGCCATGTAAGGTTATGCATTTTTGCAGGTAGAGGAGTTGAATATTATTTAAATGGAGGATTAAAAATCTGTCTGACTCAGTCTTCAATATACACAATGATCCAGCCTGAACAGCCCTCTGTGGTAAAGAATTCCACCGATTCACCACCCTCTGAGAGGAGAAATTCCTTCTCATGTCTGACTCAAAGGTGTGATCCATCATTCTGAAATTATGCTCTCTGGTCCTAGTCTCTCCCACAAGGAGAAACAACTTGTCCACATCTACCCTGTCAACATTCCTAAGAATCCTACATGTTTCAATAACCTTTCCATCTTCTATATTCCAATGATTACAGGCCCAAACTATTCAATCTCTCCTCATAAGACAGTCCTTCCATACCTGGTCTCTTCCTAGTGAACGTTCTTTGGACTGCCTTCCATGCCAGTATATATTTACTGAGATATTCCAGCTATGGTCTGATTAGTGCCTTACATAATTTTAGCAAAACCTTCTTACTTTTATACTCCATTTCCTTGGAAATAATGGCTAACAGTCCCTATTGCCTGCTGAACATGGATGCTAACTTATTGTCATTCATGGATGAGGACTCCCAAAACCCTCAGTTCTGCAGTCTTCCTCCATTTAAATAATATTCAACTCCTCTACCTGCAAAAATGCATAACCTTACATGGCCCCACAATTATATTCCATCTGCCAAGTTTTCATGTGGCTTTCTGAACTCTACCTCTATACAGAATATAGCATCAATATTCCTCTCTCAGCAGTGTGACATTCCACTAAGACAAATGACTGTGGGTCCCCTACAGTTTCGCTGCATCATGAGGGCATTTTTGTTAGAAATTTTGCATTAGGAGGCTACTCCATATCTACTGGAGGTTATTGTTTGTCCTGGACTTCTAGGTACGTGTTCCTCAAAACATTTCTGTGCATGCTTGAAGTGCAGTAGATACAGAAACAACAAAAGCTTCTCTGCCTGTATCCATTGGGAACAGACAAATGATCCATGTGGATGATATCAGAATCAAAGCAATGTGGTCATTCAGCACTCACTGCACACAAATTACATTTCAACAGCATCTTCCAAACATTGAGATATGGAGGCATTCGATGAGGGCAATGGGATGCCTGCACATCAATCCTATACATTGTCGAACTAGTTTGGAAGTATGCTGCTCAAGACATTTAGTACACATACAGTAAAAATGCTAGGAAGAATGAGAACTTCTCCATCCATCCCCATTCTTCAAATTAATCAAGAAAGGCAGCATTGTAAATAAGATAATCGTGTGGACATTCTATAGTTCAAAATGTGAGATGAGGAGCTGCTGGACCTTGTATAAGCTATAATATCTTGGAGGTGATTGTGAATTCTGCAACTAAGGTGAAACTTTACAGCTCACTTCACATTACTTCTGCTTCACAGGATTACTCGGATTAATTTGTTATGTTCAATGACATGGTCAAAATTGCTTATGATCAGGATTTGTCGTCAATATAGCTGATCAATGCAAATATGGTTCACATCCAGAATTCTGTAATAAAAAAAAGCAGATGTCTTCAACCTGTATTATGTGAGCATCTGATTAATGCAATTGCCCCTCAAACGGTTTTACATCGCTCACAAGTATCTTCCTCTGAGATAAATGAATCTTACTCCACTGACATTCACTCTAGGTGTGCTGACAGCCATTTTTTATATTCATTGTGAATTTACATTTCAGGTGAAGATGGAAAATGACACAGATTCATGCAATGAGTTGCAGGTTCAGCTTGTCAATCAAGGTGAATGCACCCACTCGACCATAATGTCCCCTTGTGGCCTTGCCCTGTCTGTTAACCCAATTTGGTTTGATCTTCCCCAATTCCCATCCAAATCTTTTATTTAGCTTCTCATCCTATGATCCTCAGGCATAAAGCTTAGTTATGTCAAACATCATTACGCACTGTTTCCTCCCACCCCAATGAAGCCAGGGTGGTGATTATTATTAATGACCTCCCTGTCATAGTATCCTATGCTTTACCACCTCCCACTCTCATGTGTTGAGATCCCCCATTCATAATTATTATTCTCTCTGTTATCAGCATGTTGCCTCCATACCTCACAATTGACATTACCAACTTCTCTACCATAGCACTGCTTTGATAAATCCCCTTGACTTTCAAGTGAACAGATCCCCAGGACTAGCGATGGCCCAACTCAACTTACTTGAAACAATAACGCAGACTGATGACTGGCCAGACTCACGGAGTTATATAGATGCAAATTGCCAACTGTCTTATCACTAATCCCCATTCTTGTGGCACTGGACTTGCAGAACTGATTGTAGCTCACTCCCTGGACCATAACAGTATGCTACTGCTGACCCTGAATCCCTTCAAGTGGCCAACCTACGCTTTCAAGCTGATGGACTGATATCAGATGATGCCCTTTACTGACTGTGCCAGTAGACCCTGAGTGACAACAGTTCCCTTGACTTGACTGACTATTCTCCTTAGACTTTGAACATGCAGTTTCATTGAAGCACAGTCAGTGCAGTTGTGACAGTGATGTAGCACAGCGCTGTACAGTGACATGTCCACCCCCTTGGCTGATCACTGTTTGCAAACATTGCAGGCTGCCTTGGTTTTGTGTCTGCCTGAAAAAAAACAAGACAGAACAGAAGACGTACTGTGAGGCTGTAAGTTCTAAATGAGCCTGCAATGTGCAAAAATGGAAGGCATGGTAGAGATGGTGAGAAATCCAAGGAGGTGCAGACTGACTGACTGACTGCTCAAAACACAAGCCAGGGAACCAGAGATGCATTCTGGTGCATGAGCCGGGTGCTTGTCCCTCTATGCAAAGTGGTCTGGCAACAGCATTGCAATGAAAGGTGTGGCTAAACTTTGAACAGTAGCACGAAGTGCTGAACTGTTTCATAAATAATTGAAAATGTCGCATGATGATGTGATGAAAACTGGTGCTTGTATCATGAAAACTCAAAGAAGACACTAGCAAACTGCAGTTGTCAGGTATCCACTACAAGTTGCATAGCTGAAATTTTCAGATTCTTTCCATTGCCTGGGGAAATAGCAAACGGCATAGAAATGAGGTGAAGTTACGCAATAATGAAATGTTAATGCATGCAAATAGACCCCTCACTGCTCACTGTTGAGATTCTCAACAGTTGTTAAACCTTATGTGAAAATTGGACTTTTCATCCTCAACATCAAGAATCTTATTTCTTCATTCTCAGTTTTACTAACTGACATGCCACTGCCCACACCATTCAGGGCCTGGGGATATTTCACACTGCATGTCAGATTAATTATTCTATTATTAACTGATTTAATAATGGCAATGCTTGCATCATGTCCAGATCAGATCTAGTAATTCAATGTGAAGTAAAAAGCTCTACATATGGCACAAATTGTTAAACAAATTACATGACTGCCATTTTCTGCTCCATTACGTTTCTATTCATACATTTTTATTAATGTTATTATGCAATGGAAAAATGTACATTGGCAGAGCTCCACTGCATATAGCATTGTGGAAATAACTCAACAATTACTGTAAAGATCCAATGTTTGTCTCACTCATAAAGGACAGTAAAATCAATATTAAAACTGCGATAACAAGGTGTAGAGCTGGATGAACACAGCAGGCCAAGCAGCATCAGAGGAGCAGGAAAGCTCCTCTGATG